TTCAGGTAAAAAACTCAATTTTACGCAGCTTCATCCATTTGGCATAAAACTTCATAAATCGTTTTGTGGCAAAATTGGAAAATTAGAAACTTACAAAATGGGAGAAGACTGCGGTGTGGCAAATATGTTGCACAATGCCTCCAGTTGTTGAGTTTTGGGCGAAAGAACAGAAGGTGGACACAGGCATGTAACTCATCGGCGTATGCAGAAATGCACACACATGTGTGTATATGTATATTTTTTTTTCCTAAGAGGTTGATACACTTTTCACACTAATTTTGAGCAAGCCCCATTTCATATTATCATATGCGGCACGCGAATGTGGAACGATAAGCACATGCTCGCAATGTGAAAGAAGGGGGATGGTATCGCTTGGCCACTTCACTCGTTATGCTCACGTCCGAAGGGAGTACTCCGCTCCGGCGTCCAACTCTCTGCTTTTCAATTTTAGTCTCAACTCGTCCTGTATACTCTCTCTAGACAAGGCGATGTTGCTCGAAATGGCGCGCAAGTTATGGGCGGAAGTACCATTAGCACTATGCAAAGAAGACGAAAACGAATCGTCCATCCGGATGCAATTCAAAATGTCGTTCATTTTTGGTAAGTATATATATTCAATACTTTTCCTGAGCGAGTTTTCGATACCTTCAATCATTTTTCCCATGTTGTGCATGTGGAAATATTTATCCTTGACCAAATTAACGTTGGAGACTTTTTTGGGTGTTTCCAAAGCTTTGTTGATGGAGGCAGACAGGGTCATTTCGTTTTTTTTCTTAATGAAAAAATTTACAGTGGTGGAAATTTGGTAGTGAATTGTTACATTAGTTATGCTTACTTGTATAAGGTGAGTACCTTCCCATGTGAGACTTGTGCATGTGTCGTAATTTTCCTTTTTCTTGATTAAAAAGCATGCAACAAATCCTTCTTCCATTGGATTTGGCCACAGATAAACAGAAGACAATCCACCTATGTAGTATGCTCGCCTGTACCGGTCATACATTTCGTTGTACAATATTTCCAGCGTCCTTAAGGATTCCGATGGGATGTACCCATTTGGGCAATGTTCAGGGTAATACCTGTTACTGTAGGGAGACCTATAGGAATCCTTTTCTTTATTGAACATATTCCCAAGGTAGTGTTTATTTTGTTGGCTATCGAATTTTATTTTGATTGGACCTTCTTTGTTGATCAAAATGTTGTTGGTTAAGTTTTGGTCAATTTTGGATAACAGTTTAATCGTTTCCTCGAATAAGTGAGCCGGGAGGATGTTGCAAATGTGCAGGGCGGCCTCGATCTGGGCTTCCTGCATTTTGTGCCTTTTTTTGGGGTTAACGATGTGGAGCAGCGGGCAGTGACAATGTATAAAAAGTGGTACGCTTTTCAGCGCAGAGGGGAAGCGGAGGGACAATTAGGGTTTGTTTCTCCTTTTTTCTACATATGTATATATATGTACACGCATACAGATATGTACAGTTCTGTACACGCTTGCGGGGGCAACGATTTCCGTCCGGGAGGGTCCCGCAAAATGGGAAAATGACGCGGAAGCCACCTTGGCGTAGTTGGTCCTATTTTGTCTCATCGCAGAATGTTGTGCGTTTTTTCACCGCAAAGTGGTCAGCTCATTTGATTATACGCCCATTTGCCCATTTGACATTTTTGGAAAAATGAGCATGGACCTTTCTTACACACGCCAAATGGTAAAAAATAAACATTTAGGACGGGAAAAAAAAAACATGACCCCTTGTTTGCACAGCAATGTGAATGCGTAAAGTGTGTGAAGTGGTCAGATTAGTATCAGCTCTGCTCCATTGCGCTTTTTTTTTTTTTTTTTTTTTTTTCACGTAAAAGGATGTATTCTTTGGAAAAGTCCAAACGGGGGAGAATAAAGTAAATCAAATTGCCCCCACGTTGGGCGTGCGTAAAACGCACAGTGATTAAGAGCATTTCGTCTTACCAGCATCAATGACTTTATTTTTACAACTATGTTCTCGTGGCAACAAAAGTGCAGGGAAAAAAAAAAAAAAAAAAAAAAAAAATCGCTGGGATAGGTCAACTTGATAAATTTACTAAACGTACCACACCAGATAAGCTCCTCCAATTGTAGGAAGACAACATAGCTTGTCACATTGGAACAATGAACTGAACGAAGGATAAAATATTGGAACATACATCCTTCCAGAATGATGCGAAAGGGTATCCCATGTTATTTCTTGCTGTGTGTCCACCTCTTCATAGAAAGTGCACATGTTTTTGCCTGACCATGCAGGTAAAAATTGGTCTACATATTGGGCCTAGGTGAGGATGCAGCTGCCCTTTTTGGAAAAAAAACGCAAACAAGGAACACATTTTTGGCTAAATATACTAAATAATTTACCTCAATGAGAATAAACGTGAGGAGTAGGCCAAAGGGGCGCCGTGCCCAGGCTTTGTTAAGAGCGGGTGTAAATGTCACGCGTCACCGCATTCTACTTCCCACAGCTGTTTTTTCCAAATGGTGCAATTTGCCAATTCCTGTAACATTTTTCCCGTGTATGGCTTTTACGGGTTTAACTATATTTTCCTCATTATTATGTGCATAGCAATTTGGCGGCATCCGTCTGGTGAGGAAGTTATTTCCCCCGCTTCCTCCCTTTTGAGAGGCTTTTTTTTTTACATCATTTCATTTTTTTGGTAAAATATATTTTTGACCCCATTGCATAGTCCCTATAAAATAAATCCGCACAAAGGTGTGGGTTTTACGCGCGGGCAATCCGACAGGGAAATCTGCAAAGGCGGCTCCCTGACTGAATTCGCGCGCTGTATGACAACAACGTTGTGGGATTATGAGGGGAAAAAAGGTGCACCTGCGGGGTATGGAAGTTTACATAAAAAAAAAAAATATATACACGGGCGTCCCAATTTTACAACGCATGTGAAGAAAAATTATAAAGCGCTCACTTCACGGATTCACAAAAGTTTTGCGGATTCGGCTTGCTCCCTCAAAACGGTATGCACTGCTACTTTTACCATATGCGCCCTGGCAAGGGCGACAAATATACCGGTGCGCAGCAACAGGGGGCACCCAAGGCGCTTCTTCCCTTGCGGAGTGTTTCCTCCTACCCCACAAAAAAAAAAAATTAATTTTTCAGGCAACAAAAAATAGGGGAAAAAAAAAAGTTAACCGACACGTAACTTCGAAACAGCGTAGTAGTTTAGAGCAGAAGCATTCCCAAGCAGGGAAGCGTAGGAAGAGAGTGTAAAAAAAAGAAGCAGAAAAAAAAAAAATAGAAAAAAACGGAAAAGAAGCAGCGCAAAAAAACAAAAATTAACTCCCTTTTTGCAAACTCGCCAACCCTTAAAGAAAAGGCGTATGCAAAAATTATAAAGCTTCTATCCTATGCAGCATATTTTACGCGCAACAGCAATTTTTTTATATGTTCAGGAAAAGTGGCTGCGGTTATCTTCTGTCGCGAGTTTGTGACGAAAAGGGTTTGAGATATTTTTCCCTTTGACCTTGGCAAGTGAAAAGGTTAGAAAAGCCTTTGAAGGCGATCTACTTGAAAAAAAAAGGGCTTAGTCAAACCCTGCACGGCGCATCCCGCAAGCACATGTTCGCATCTCATCGAGGGGGCATTGTACAAATATGTACGCCGCCGTTGATACCGAAGTGACTGTTCCATTTTGGCTAGTTGCTTGACAAAAAAAAAAAAAAAATAGCACCAATTGTGGGAGCAGCATAGCAACAGCACAACAGCAGCAGTGACAGGGAAGCAACACGCACGATAAAAGGAAAAAGAAAGAGACGTAAGCAAGAGCGAAGAAACGCTTGACAAACAGAGCTGTAAAGTAGAGAGGACGCAAAACCATGGTGAAGGTTTCTGAGAGCGAGCTGAGTGATAAGGGGTTGGAGGAATTCCTGTCGGACGACAGTGATGACGGAAATGAAGAATTGCTGAACAAGAAATATGCGGAGAAAGAAGCCCTAATCACTTTGGAAACCAAGTTCCCCAAAATCGTAACCATATTGGGGATTCCAAAGGTGGAGGAAGAGAAGCACAGCAGGTTGGCTGAGGTGTTGAAGAAATTGTTCATAAGGCATTTGAATGCCAAAATAAGTGACTCTTCCTTATTGAATATAAAAATATATATGCCCGTGGATGATGAAAAAAAGACGAAAGGAATATGCTTTGTAACTTTTAATGATAGTTTCCAGGCGAATGAAGCAGTGAAGATTTTGAACAAGCTAAAGCTGGATGCTAAGCACGTATTAACAGCTTCCAAAATGGACGATATAGAAAATATTATAAACCGAGATGAACATGTCATGCCAATTAACGTGGTCGGATTTACAAGAGAAAAAATTCGATGGTGGTTATATGATGAAAGGTGCAGAGAGCAGTTCATTGTGAGGTACGATTCTCACTTTGAAGTACATTGGTTTGATCCTCTAGAAAAGGAACCACAACTCATTTATACAACTTATAAAAAGAGTGCGCCATTTTCCAGTGTGCAGTGGAGTAACCAAGGATCTTACTTAGTTAGTTTCCACAACCCTGGTATAGCTCTGTGGGGTGGAGACAATTTTGAAAAACTTATTCGTTTACAACATAAGAGTGTGAAGGAGATTAGTTTTTCACCGAATGAGAATTATGTGCTGACATGGGATGGTACGCCTGCTTCACTTAGAAATGAAAAGTCCATATGTATTTGGCGAGTCATAACAGGCAAGTTATTGCGTTCTTTTATTACGCCTGAATTTAGTGCTAGGGATAAAAGCTATAATTACTTTTTGTGGAGTCCTGATGATAAATATATTGCTTGTATAGGAAAACAGAAAGAGGTGTATGTGTATGAATTGCCAAGTATGTTGTTGATGGAAGACCATGAAAAGAAGAGGACTCCTCTTAAATATACATTCGTTAAAGAATTTGACTGGTCCCCTGTTGATAATATTGTATCTATATGGATCCCAGGATCGAAGACCACTCCAGGCACATTAATCCTTGTTGATATTCCTTCAAGAAAGGAACTTGTTTCAAGGAAAATATATGACGTGGTCCATGCATCCATTCACTGGCAAAGTAAAGGAGATTACTTGTGTCTTAAAACTACTATTGAAAAGAAGATCAGCAAAAAGAGCAAGAAGGAATTTACTCAGTTAGAAATTTTCCGTATAAGAGAAAAGAACATCCCTGTTGACAATATCCAAATTGAGGGAATAAAAACGAAGCAGTTCCACTGGGAAGAATCTAATAGCAATCGATTTGCTTTAATCGTGAGGGATGAAGCCACGAGCAGACAGCAAATAAGATTTTACAAAATTGAGAACAAAGGAACAGCTAGAAATACAAAATGGACAAGCACATTTGATATAAACAGCCAAATGAATTTTATGCGTTGGTCACCTCAGGGATCTTATTTCATCCTAGCATCATTAGGATCGGAAGGTCTTTTATACTTTTGCTGTTTGAATGCAAATGATGAGGTGGAAGTTATACACAAGGATGAACATCTATTGGCAAACTCCGTTTCATGGAGTAACTGTGGAAGGTATTTGGTTACTTCCGTTTCTAGTATGGCCAATGCAGCTAGCTCCTCAAACTACAAAGATGAAAACAGCGAGACGGGATTTTTCATATGGTCTTTCCAAGGCAGGTGCCTAATGACCATTAAGAAGCCTTCATTCTTTCAGTTCTTTTTTAGACCTCACCCCAAGTCCCTCTTCAGTGACAAGCAAAAATTAGAAATAAAAAATAACTTGAAGGATTACTCTAAGAAGTTCGATGTCATGGACGAGAAGGTTAGGCAAGCTAAACGCAATCAACTCATATCGGACCGCAAAACAGTGGAGGCGTCATTTAACGAGAGGATTGAAAAGGTTACTGAGCTGTTCCACTCCTTCAAGGAATATGAGGAGTTCAAGAAGAACTGGGAGCAGTTCGAGAGCCAATTCGAGTGGGAGGAGAAGACCGTAGTCATTGAACATGTCCTCTCCGTCAAACAAGAAATATTCGCATAAACCGGGTGGAGAGAAAAATCTCCCCCCCCAGGCCCCCCCCTTTTTTTCTTTTTTTTTTTTTTCTTCCTTGTAATAAAATTTTTAAAGGCTCTGCATGAACTATATAAATCCGTGCATTTTTTTTTTTTTTTTTTTGCACACTAATTCGGGTCACTCTTCCCCCACCCCGTGCATGTGCATCCATTAAACACATAAAACTACTCAAAGTAAGAACATGTAAAGACACCCCTTTTTCACACGTACTATAAACAAGGCGTCCTCCCGACGTGCCCACTTCTTAAGAGGAAGCTTCAAACAGAGTGAGGTGATCCGCAAGGATAAATTTAACTACGTACATTTTTGTACGAGACAGGTTACGCGGGGTGTTCACAAGCGCGTTGTGTCTAGTACATTTGTTCATTCGTATTTGAGGAGTTATTAACAAGGCTATATCGCCGTTACACAGCTGCGCCGCTACAGGGACATATATTCTACCCCGCATGGGGGTCATTGTCGTGCATCACCCAGGGACTGAGGAAGCGAGTGAGCCTGTCCAGGCGCGCTGGAGGCTCCCCAGATGTACAGAGGTATTTTTCTCCATCGTTCAAGCCCTCGACGGTTTGCACCTGGCGGAAGTTTGCGTTGTAGATTATTCTAACAGGCCCAATGGTGGGGCCAAGTACTTTGTTAATTTCGGTCAGCAGCGATTTCCAATTGTGTATGTGTGGCTTGAGTAGGAAGAGGAGCCCATTGTGATGTTCATCTCCGTTGCGGAACAGCCAGATGTTTTTGGGTCGTGCAATTTGTATTCCATACTTTTGCATCCCCAGCGTCCCTGGAGTAACTACGCACCGTCTGCACTTTTTCCGCTCCATCGTCCATGACGTTGTCGTCTTCTTCGTCGTCCCCTGCTCACAGATGGTCCGTGGGTGTTGTTCGGTTGGGTCAGCTCCCCGCGTTAGTAGGTGGTTGAGGTTAAAATGCTGCGAAGTCCCTTTCGCGGCACCCCTGCTCCTTAACGTGTCAAATTTGTGCTTGTGCATTCCTGTGTAAAAGTTCGCATCCGTGAGTCGGTCAAACACGTTTTCGTGTCTTCTTTTGTGCTTCCCCTTGGGAGTGTCTAGCTTCAGGGGGAAATTCATTTTTGCATTTTCGGTGAAGCAGGAGAAGTGCTTCTTAACAGGCTGTAAGTCGCCATCAGTGCCAAAGAGGGGACTGTCGCTCAACCCACCCGCATATACGTTCGTACAATCCATTGGGGTTTACTCGTTGGGCGACCTATTGGGGAAGACAGTTAGGCAGATGGAGTGCCTACAAAGGGGCGATTGTCTCACAAAACGCAACGCGCAAATGTAGGGTTGCCTCCACGCTGTGTTGCGGTGTTTACAAGTGTCACTTTTTTTTTTTTTTTTTTTCCTGCTTGGGCGCTCAAACAGCCAAAGGTAGCGAGTGGACAAAATGAAAATGTCTTTTCAGCAAAAGGACGAAAATGAAAGCCGGGTTTCCCTTCCATAACAACAGTTTGTTTGAAAAAATTATCTTGTAAAGGTACGCACGGGTACACACATGCATGCATGTATTTATTATGCATATATATGTGAGGTGACCGCATTTGATTTTTTTTTTTTCCCTTTTTTTCAGCGCACCTGTGCGTACAGTACAGACAAAAAAAAAGGTCAGCGGCGTGGGGGGGCTACCTTTAATGTGGAAATAATTAAACGGTGTAATGGACACGGCGTTGCGCCCCACAAACGGATGTTCCCAAATCAAGGTACTAACAACTGTTGCAAAAAAAAAAAAAAAAAAAAAAAAATGGTCAGTTGTACGAGGAGATACTTCCTCAATCAGGTGGTCTCGAGGGGCACACAAAAATGGAGACAAGCGCGGCGGCCCACTTGCCATTGCCCCAGCTCTGAAACGCAGCCGCAGGGAAAAACGAAAAAAAAAAAAAAAAAAAACAGCATAAATGAGGAAAGAACGTAAAAAGGCGGAAAATTTTTTCAAAAAAATGTAGAATGAGGACAGCACACTGAAGCAGTGCTACGATAGTGTGTAAACGCCTTTGGGGGGAAAACCCAAAGGTGCCATTGGCACATGCTGTCTACTCATTTCACCCGAAAAAAAAAAAAAAAATAATAAAATAAAATGAAAAAAGCATATGATGGAAATCTACACACAGTTATGTGAACATGCGTGTACTCCACAGAGAACCAGTTGAGTAATGGTCCCTGCTACTTTCTATGAATGGAGAGGGTGAGACTAGGAGTAGCACTGGTCCCCATCAGGCACACTTGTAACAAAAAATGAGTTCACCATGGGTACAAAAAAAAAAACAAGAAAAAAAAAAAAAAAATTACATGGAAAGTTTCTTCCTCACTTTCAGCATTTTGCGGCACAAATTGTAGTAGTAATAATTTTCCAAAATGTTGATCAAATATTCTTCGTCTTCTCCTTGGATGTGTATGTCTTCCTTCAAGAACAGGGCTCTGTCTTTTTCATTCGAGAGAAAACTTAATAACTCCTTGTCACTACATGTGTGCATTTCCTTCAGCTGGCAATACTTTTTGTTGTGAACAGTCTCGTAGAACTTTTTTAAGTCGGGTTCATTTTCCGTGGTTGTTTTATTTTTTATTTCTTTTTCATCATTTTGGGAATGTCTCCTGCCGTTTGGGGTTTCTTCATCATCGGTTGCGTTATATGGGGATCTCTCCTCTTGGCCCTTCATCTTCTTCCTTCTCTTTCGCCCTCGCTGAACCTGTTCATCTGGCCTATCGCGATTGTCCTGTACCCTATCCCCCCGATCAATCAATCCACACGGCGCGTTGGAGTAATCTCTTTTTTCTTCCTCCCTGGGCTTGCTAGCCATGCTGCTAGTTGGTGACCCGCCCTTGCATGTAGCATCATACGAGGCGCCTACTTCATAACCCCGCATGCATTGCTTCGATGTATGCTCCGCAATCCCATTCGCATGAGAATATTTTACGCGCTTCTCTTTGCACGGGTCAAGGTGCCCACTGGATGCGGGTAAGTCTAGCCCTTCCATCGCATCATCACAAAAGTTGGCTGTCACCTTTTCAGAGTGAACTTCCCCTGAACAATTCCCCCTAAAAAGGTATTCCTCCCTGTGGATAAAATTTTCCTGAAGATGCCTGACCAAGGGGGAACTGCTATTTAGAATGTTCTCAAAACCTACCCCCTGAGGTCTTTTCGCATTCAAATAAATTGCCAATAGGAGCCCCAGCTTCCTGGAGTACATCCAACCATACACACGTACATCAAAGTAATAATTTTTTTTATTCAGCTGATGAGGAACGTATCTGGAAATTTTCCAAGCGTGTCTTTTACTATCGTATTGCAAATTAGCAACATTAACGTCGAAGTAATTTTTGAGGAGGTCGTGTTCTGCGTTCAGGTAATCATACACAGCTATACACTTTCCAATTATATAACCATACTTTTCTTCTGAATAATAAATTTTTTCTCTTATGAATTTATTTTGTTCTTTTTTTATAATTTCAATGATCCAGCTTTTTTTATTTTGGACCCACTTTACTTTATTTTTCCAATGCTCTTCGCTGATGGGTTTTTTTAAAAGATCGCTACAAAACTGAATCAGCTGTTTGTGGTGTACTTCTTCTTCATTTTCCATCACTGTGCATGCATCTTGCGTGGTGCCTTCCTCCAGATCACTGCTCAAAACATCCCTAACATAGGTGTCATATTCAGAGATGTTATTCAAGATAAAATTAATTCTCTCCTTTTTGTACTCCTCTGCCATTTGCCTTGCTTTTTCAAAACCGTAATCTCTTATTGGGAATTTTTTCCTGCGCGTTCTTCCGTAGAGTACCCACGAGACTACCCAGCTGCCTGCATTCCTCTCAAACGTGCTATTCGCAATTTGCAGGTATTTATTATCACCCCCTTGTTCTTCCTCCCCTCCACCGTCTCCCCATTGGCTGTGCACATGTCTACATTCCTCATGAGTGTAACCCACGTCCAGGAACACTCGTCCTTGAAGGTGGGCATTCTTCCGTATTACCTTGAACACTTTTTGCTTCTTCTCCATAAACAGTCTTTTCTTTTCCTCGTCCTCTGGTGACATTTTAACGATACTCGAGATGGAGTCGAGGGTGCAATTGGTCTCCTCTAGTTGGCTGGAACGGTTCGGGCCACTGTCTTCGTCTTTTCCAGGGGTGGAATTGAGCTTGCTTGGACAGGCATTCCCTTTTGTCGTTTTCCCCTCGCCAATTAGAGGCTTTACGCTGTGTAGCTTCTCTGCATTTTCTATCACATCAATGCGACGAAGCTTGGCTAACCTGTCCATGGGGGCCAGTCCTTCCGCTTTGTGCAGGTTCTCCTGCCTGTGTAGCATTTCATGTCTGTGCAGCTTCTCCTGCCTGTAGAGTTTTTCCTGCCTGTCGAGCTTCTCCCGCCTTCCCAACATCCCGAGCCTTTCCATCTTCTCCAACTTTTGCATTTTTTTCCATCTCCGGAGCCTTTGCACATTTTCCCACTTTTCCAACTTTTTCATTTTTCTTAAGATAACATTTTCTTCCTTCCTTTTTAACCTTTCCTGTTCTTTTATTTTTTTTTTTTCTTCTCGCATTTTTTTTTTCTCTTGTCTCATTTGCATTTTTTTTTCCTTTTCTTTCTCTCTGCGTAGTTTCCTTTCCTTCCTTTCCAGCTGTTCCTTCAATTTATTTTCATGTGTTTTTCGGAGCAGTTCTCTCCTTCCCTCGACATTTGGCGTTGGCACTTCCACTGGGGGGCTGTTCAAGGTCATTCCTTCTTTCGCCTTCAACTTCTCCGTTGGGATGTCTTCCGTGTCGCCTGTCTCTAAGGAACCTCCTCCATTGCTTCGAGCCCTCTTCCCACTCCATTCACCGTTACTAAATGTTGTCTCCTCTTCACACTTGACAGATGGACCCTCACCTGCTTCATCAAATGAAATAACACTCCCCCGTCGGACGTCAAATCTGTTCCCATTTCTACCCTTTGTGTGATAAGGCACGCTGCAAATCTGTTCGCACTTAACCGGTCTCCCATCATTGTGTGCCTCCCTTAGCCTCTGTCCCATTGTCGATACAGCTTCCCCAATGGACTCAACGCCGACGCCCGCTTTATCGCTTTGCCACTCTTCCGTTTCTCTGTCACTCATTTGGCCATTCACCCCATCACCGTCTTTTCTTATAAAAAAGTATTTTTCTCCAAATGTGTTGTAAATTTTTCGTTTCATGAAATCCCATTTCTCCTCAGGAGTGACGTAATCCACATCAGTGGTCACCTGGCCATACAAGTTGTTAATGCTTTGCAGATCGTCCAGAGCTACATGCCTAGATTCAGCACCGTTCATATTTATGTCGTAGCTTTTTATAATTGATATGTTTCCGAACTTCCAGAGTATGTTCCATGTGTTGGTGATTTCGTCAAACACTAGTAGGCTTCTCACTGGGGATGTTTCTTCTTCGTTTTTGTCTCCTGTGTGTGTGTCCACCTCTTCACTCTCGTTATATAGAAGTCCTTCTCCCTGTTGGCACCTATCTGATCTCATCACCACTGCAACCTTTTCTCCATTTGCGGTGATGCGTTCCCTTTTCAAGTTATTTTTACCACTACCATGTGGCGCACTTGATGCGGTTATTTCATCGCACTCGATGGGATGCCCCTCAGGATTCCCCTCTAACAGGTTCTCCCACTCATCCACGGAAGGGGGACGATAAATGTTTCGATCCTCCCCACCCTCTCCATCAGACATATACTTATCACCACTGTTGGGAAAATCTTCATGTGGGGGTTTCACCAATCGGGAGTGACCACCATTAGGGATAAAATTTTTGTTCGTTGATGAGTTAGAATGACAATCGGGTAGTGATTCGTCGTTTTCTGCTTCTTCACTGCGTTGGTACTCTGTTGAAGGTGTCCCGTTTGTTCCTTTTCCCCAAGAGGGATGATTGTTCCCTCGTGTTGAACTTGTCTCCTTTTCGGCGTGGCCCTCACCAATGAGCGTCCCTCCAGTGCTGTGCAGTGGGCGATTGACATATTCATGACCACCCACGGGGGTACCTTCTCCGGTGTTATTGAAGACACACGAATTGTCTTTCCCCTTGTGGGATTCATTACTGTGTAGAAGATTTGCACCACGGGCATGGAGGAACTTCTTCTCCAATGGGGAACAAAGCGCCTCAGGTTTTTCACACCCGTTCATAATCTCATGAATATCTTCCGTATTGTAACCCTGTGGGGGCCTTTCGTGGAAAACTCTGGTGGCGTCCCCATTGGTGTTACTAACCGGTGCAATTTCACTCTTGTGAATGGTTACGATTTTCATGATTCCCTTTTGTATTGAGGATGTCACTTGTGTCTACCCTTTATGAGGAAGGAAAAACATGTCAATTTAATTTTTTTTTTTTTCTCTTTCTACTTGTCTTTTATCGTTAGTATTTATACCTTATGGGCGGTTAACACGTTTGGTGTGTCTGCCGTCCTGCATGCAAATCGTCACGACTTATACGTAGGGGATGTAATACGATACTTTTGTTATTCTCTCCCTATGGCAATTTAACAGTTCTGTTTTATTATCATCATTGTGTAGGGTCATCTCCAAAAACAAAAAAAAAAAAAAAAAGGTGCATCTAGACGTGTTTCGCAGCTTTGGATGATCCTTAGGGTTTTTCTATTTTTTCTGTTTAACTGTACCACACCTGGTAAGTCACCCCTGTGGTGTGTATCTCAGGTGAATATAACTTCATGCCGCCTGGGTCGGTCTACCTGCACACCCGTCCACCTAGTCTTATATGCACAAAAAAGGGGACAATGTTTTTTTTTTCCCCCCCCTTTTAACTGCTTCTCTAATTGAGCAATATAGAGAATGCAGCAGTAGGACATGTTCTTCAAAGTTGCTGGATCGTTTTTCCCACCTCATCGAATGGTGGACCGCAAAGGCAAAGAAAGACCATAAACATATAAACAACAAAAATGTGTACTATGAATTTGGACACTGTAAAGACCTAAACAAAAAAAAAAAAAAAATGTACAAAAATAATTATAAATGGTGATGAAGAAAGAGTTTTTGTTGGTATCACTAGCCCACAAGGACAGCTACTTTTTCTTTCCTAATTCTGGAAAGGAAACTATTTTTTTTTTTTTTTTTCATTTTTTTCCCATGGTTACTTTTCGAAAGCTGGCTGCCTGTACTTTTCGTTGTTTCGTTGTTTTGCCATTTTTCATTTTTAGTTTTTCATTTTTCATAATTTCACGAGTTTGCGATTTCATGGTTCGGCTACATTCGTATGTTATTTCATTTCGTCATTTTACAAATTCGCTACACTGGCCTTTTGTGCCTCACTATGTGCTGTTTTTCCACTTTGTCAAGCTTGTACGTTTTTTTAATTTAATGAAAATTTTTTTTTTTTTTTATTTTATTTTTTTTTGCGTACACATTTTGTTAGCTTTTTTTTTTCTGAATAGCCTTAACGGTTAAGGTATTTTTTTTTTTTTTTTTTTTTTTTTCCTACAGTGGCACTATTTTTAAAATAAACTCAAGTTGGGGATCTACTTTTATGTTAAAAAGAAGAAAAAAAAAAAAAAAAGAGGAAATGGAAATTGAGGCAAGCTTGCACAAATGTGTACACAATTAGGACACTTTTGGAAGGAACTAGCATAGGCACATGGATAACGTGTAGAGGAATACACATGAACGGAGGGCAGTAATACGGAGGTGGACGCTACTCTACGCGTGTGCATGCAAAGATACACTGACCTACTGATGCCACATGGTATAGCTGCAAACCACAGGGGTCCCTTCCCTGAGGGACTAGTTTGCCTAAGCGGAAAATAATTTGATTGAGCATTTGAGAGAATAGGCAGGGGAACACACAATCGTCGCTCCAGAGCAAGATGGCATGCCCCAAAACACAAAAAAAAAGAAAAAAAAAATACGCATCGTTACGTTCCTTGTCGCAGTCCTATATAAACGATTTTTTTTGTCCCCCTCCATAATTTGGTGTGATAAGTTCACAAATATGGGAACAGAAAAAAAAAAAAAAAAGAGTCCAATGGTCGCAACGTATAACATGTTAGAATGTCCCCTTTTTGTGTCGATTTGTGTGCCTTTTTAAAGAGCTTAACTTGCGGGGCAGAAAAGTGTATATGTGTACATGTCCACACGGTTGCGTTCAAAATGAGCTAACAAGGATCCAAAGGGCGATGCGATTTAATGTGATGCGTACTCAACAGTGGAAAATCCATATAAGGGGGAGGGGTACATAACTGGTATAATATCCTGACTGCGTCGGATGAACCTTGGCAACTATACATCGGCTGCATTGCATCCCCCCAAGGGGGAGCATACTGCACCGAGTGTTCCCCACGTGGACCTCCCCGCCCCACATTTAGTGTTGTTTTCCCTCCGCGTGGCGCGCAGACTCCTCCGTGACGACGTTGATATTTCCGCGAATGCACATGTCAGGGAACACGAGCGCGTTGGGCGTCTCCGCGTGGCCCGAGTTCCTTTCAATTTCTTCTCGTACCAAGCAGTGCTTAAGCCAAGCATTCATAAAATCAGCTGGAGGCAAGACTGTTTGTAGATAATAGAGAAAATTTTCGTTCCATGCAATTTCGCTAAATTGTCGTTTCAATTCATATTCTTCACTCAACACTGCACACATTTTCTGGTCAGTAATTACATGTAGCTGTTTAATAACATCTTCTAAAATTGTGTACACATGTTTTTCCGTATCTTTTATATTTGACCTGACTTGTTCATATAATTTATCGATTTTTTTCAACATATGATTTAATTTAATTTTTTCGCCTTTGACGACATTTGAAGGAATGGCACTGTGTTTGATGATGGCTTTATAAGCTAAATTTAGTGAAATTATTGCATCGTTTTTGTTACTGAACCATGGGCTATTTTCCCCGCACAAATCTGTGTGTGCATGACTCGAAACGCATTTATTGCATATGGGTATGTGACAAATTGTACAGAACATATTCACACGTTCCTGTACATGTACTTTACATTTGCCTGATATGGTTTGTGCTTCGTTTAGTGTCTTCCGGATGTGTTTCTTCACAAGTTTATTTTGGCTGTGTATAATATGATCACACTTGGCACATAATTTTACCTCATCCGATTCACAATAAAAGACAGATGGTGCATTTCCACAGTAGTCACATAAGGGCAAGCTGAAATGTTCTTCTCCATTTGGGTCACATTCAAATTGTATTAAGTACCGAGGTAACAATTGTGAGTTATCAAAAATGATGTACTCATGATGGAAGGTATAGTGTGGGAGTACTCCACATGATGCCATGGTATCTCCACCCAAGGCTAAATTTATCCTTTCGCTGTTTTCATCCTCTTGGTTTGTCCCCCCCCTTGACATGCCACTACCTTCCTGTTCATCCCTATCGCTATAATGGATGGTCACCGAGTGATCCAATGCACTCCCTTTTTTCTTGTCAATAAAAATACTGTCATATTCTATTGGGACTGTGTCTCTGTTGTACATTTCTGCTTCCCTTTCGCTGACCGCTAGAGAGAGACCCACGCCGACGTCACATAAGAAAAATTCGAACACGCTTCTCTCTCCTGATAGTAACACCGTTTCGCTGTGCTTTAGGATGTTCCTCAGAGTTTTCTTTGCCTTGTTCGTTGTGCCTGTCTCGCTCTCCAGTTCGTTTGGGTTCACCATTGCTCGTCCCGCGTTTAGTGATGTTAGGGGGAATCCCGGGATGCTGCGGGGGGGGGAAGCGGCGGGGCAAAATGTTCACCGATGAGGGGCAACGCAGCATCATTGCAGAGTAGTATCATTACACAGCAGTAGCATTGCACCGCTGCATCATTGCACTTACTTGAAATTTCCCACGGAGAGGCGCAGCCCCCTGCGCGACACGGAAAAACCGCGTGTGCAGACGTCCTGGATGGAGTTATCCATGTCCAGGGACGATGCGTCAATAAAACTTTTCAAAACCAACTTATTCGAATTCCTCTTTTCAAATTTGTTTATGAGGTGCACAGGAGACAGGTGCCATGCCTGGACCAGTCGGACCCTGGACGTCCTCACATTCATTTGTAGCAGGTACTCCAGGGTTAGCCATTCTTCCGAGTCTCGAAAGATCTGCGTTAAGTTGTTGTCCAAAAGGCTTATGTCCGTTCCTAGCGGGTCCAACGTCATTTTGTCGCAAGGGCTACTGGGTTGCTAGGTGGGAAGAGGCATCGCAACTCACTGCGCAGGCCGTTCAAATGGGGGGGAGCGTTAAATGGAAGGCGCTAAATGGGAAGCGTTCAAATATGTGTGACATGAAAAAGGTTTAACTCCCCTTAAGCGGCTTTCACTCCAAATCGCGAAAAAATATTAACGATTGATGCGCTTTGCTGTTTTACGTGAAATGAGCTGTCCGAGGAAAAATATCCCCCCCTGGGGGTTGGTGAAAAAAACCTTTTGTGCTTTTCGTGGGGCGCGAAATGCGTCTTTGCGTATGCACACGCGTGTGGTTCTCGCGGTTGGAGGGGGAGGGATGTCACCAATTCGCTACTTAGCGGTTTAACAGTTTGGCTGCTTAACATTTTAGCAAATAGCAACTTTGCGACTTCGCCACGGAGCACCTGGGACACAACACAAAAATGATCTGGGCGCGCTGTGCATGCGAAATAGGCTGCGCGTGACCGTTCAGAGTTGCACGAGCAGATGGGCAGGGTGTCCATTTCCATGTTGCCATTTCGGTGTTACCTTGTCCAAGCGGTCATTGCGAAAAAAAAAAAAAAAAACAAGCCTAACAAGAGCAAACGTGACCCATTTTGTTGCGTCCAAAAAGGAGGAGAGCGGTTGCGCTTACTCACCTAGCCAAGTGCGCGTTGAAAATTTGGAACTGACTTGACAAAAAAAAAAAAAAATATAGAGAAAAAACAAAACAAAAAAAAAATTCCCCAAGCGATACCCGTTTGCACCGCATGATCTGCTTTAGCTGCAAACTAGCATAGAAGTCACAAAAGGAAAAAAAAAAAAAAAACAAAGTACCAACCGTGTTTTGCCATGCAGTCCCCCTCATCCTAACGTAGGAACGCAACATACGCATCACTCAGTTGGTTATTCAAGTGGCCACCGTGCATGTTGCTTGGAGCAGGCCAGTAGAGCTACGTAAGGAAGGAGAAGGAAAGAACAAACAACACAAAACTGTTTAGCTTTCGAAACCGTGTGCTTCCATGTGGAAATGATCCCCTACCCCGTCCTGAACCCTATCGACATGAATCACCCCAATAAAAGAAGCGACCATGACAAGGCATAGCAAAAATAACACCGCCAATCCTATATTCACCTACCATGAAAGGAAGAAAGTAACCGGTGAGTACTACCTCCATCTCTGTAGTGCTCACTTGTGTGTTAACAAAAATTTGACTCCATGTCACACTATGTTATTTTTAACGAATGAGGGGTGAGATAGGGTTGGTCTGGGGTGGCCCCCGTGGGAGTAATCACAAGTGCGTTAATGTGTAGGTCACCCTCAGCCAATTCGTAATGCACCAATTCGTCATCCGTCCCCGCCATGTTCACTTCACCCCGCTAGATGTGGGAACCCTGAAGGAAAGACTCGGAAAAGACTCCATGCGAAGATTCGAGCAGTGCTGGATATGCCTGCGGACCGCCGAGACACCCGTGAGTACCCCTTATGGACACATATTTTGCAAAATGTGCATCTTCAATCATTTTTTGACTCAAAAAAAAGCCTACGCAAGGAGGAAGAAGGAATATGATCAGTACATTAAAGATTTGAAGAGGAGAAAGGACGAAGAAGCTTCTTATCAGATCGAAAGAGAGAAAAAAAAATTCATGCAGGACTTGGAAAAAATTGATAATTCTGAACATGTGCAGGTGATTTTGTACTCCCTGGAGGAAACGAAAAAGAGGGGGAAAAAAACAACCCCCACTGATGCAGCAGGTGTCTACCTCCTCCATGTGCCTTACATCGACATGGTTCCAATGGAACTTTGAAACATTTTGGTGGAACACCCCTAACAAAGTGCACATCCGCTTTTCCCCCTCCGTAGAAGGAAGAAAAAAAGAACCTACTGGACATTTCAAATAACTTTTGGCTGGCAAGCAACACAAAGGCGAAGGACTTGAATATAAAGAAGCTGAGTCGTCCGTCGAAGAATCTGTCATGTCCAGTTAGTGGGAAGGCACTGAAAATGGGGGACCTAATAGCTATTAACCCGGAGGTGTCGCAGGAAGGCGACGCGCTCAGCGGGAAGTAAGTCTCTCTTTCGTTTGAGCTCTCTGTGACAGGGGTGAAGTGCATGCGTGTGTTTATGTGTGTATGTGCGGGTTGAGAAAGCAGGGCGGGGGTTCGGCACCACGCAGGCTAACGATGTAAGTTGTCATGGCATTACGCTGCTTTATCCATGCAGGGAGAGCTGGGTTTGCTCTTACTCCAAGAAAAATATTGATCACCAGAGGGCCGTCCTCATCAAAAAAACGGGACAGATAATTATAAAGGTGAGTGTGCGTGGGAATTGGGTAGGGAGCGGTGCGCGCATTGTTCCGCCTTTTTCACTTGGCCTACTTCGCTGCACCATATTGATGCCTTTTTCTTTCCTTCTTCATGCCTGCCCTTTTAGTCCATTTTTGAAAAGTTCATTTACGGGAACAACACTCTGGACTTTACCGTCGGGGATGGGGACTTCATCGATTTGCAGCCAGGAGGAACGGGTACACACGCACATTTACCTCCGCAAGGAGGATTTGCTTCTTGCGTGTCATGGGGGCTGTTTTTCTTCCCCCACGTTTGCAAAGCGCTGTTTGTATGCGAGTTCGTCTGTAGAGGTAGAGACCACGCAGGGGCGATGTAGAAGCGTGTAATGCGTTGTTGTGTGGTTTGAAAATTTTTTTTTTTTTTTTCCCCCTCCTTGCAGCCTTTTGCTCGCACAGCAATGTCGAGAAGACCATGTACCGGGAGTCCCTTCTGTGATGAAAGTGTGTGTGTGGGGCATCTCCTTTTCTCCCATTAGTCCGTTGGATACCCCCCCTTGACCGCGCCATTATGGCGTTTACTTTTTTTCTGTATTCTTAAGTGTTACATGTACAGGTACATGTTTGTATTCCCGTGTTGTATTTTTGTTTTTTTTTTTTTCTGTAATCTCTTTTTTTTTTTTCGTGTAATATGACTCCCGAAATAGTTACCCCGTGCGGGTCAACGATGAGCATAAAGCGGGTGGAGTATACACATAAGGACAGATCCAAGCAAATATGCGATGCAACGCAGGCGGGTTTTATATGTGTGTAAATATTCGAAATGGAAACGGGCATGCGTATTGGCGTATGCGTCGTGTCGTCGTAGTGGCAGTAGGAAGGTTCCATCGGAGTGACATGAAGTCATCACCGCTAGGTCATCGTACGCCAAGTGCAAATGTGGAGGAAGGTATATATTGGGGGCCCCTTCTTGAAGGTGCCTCATAAGGGGGGAATGTTTCTCCGGCAGGTCGGGCTCGCACAATGCACACCACACGAATTGTGCACGCACTGCGTTTGGCGGCACGTTTGCCTATTACCCGTTTTGTGATTCTTCCAGTGGACCTGGAACAGCTTTTAAAAGTTACACCTCTCCTCTTTTGTTTCACACTTGGTTTGCTGCTTAAACAACCTGATGGGCTACGCTGACTGTTGATTTTTTTTCCACATTTGATGGCGTCCCGCGGGGTTCCCATTTTTTTATTTTATCACTTTTCGACACGATTGTTATGTTCGATCCCTTCGGCTGGAAGCTGCCCAGGTGAATGACTCACCAAAAAATATTTAAAAAAAAAAAAAAAAAAAAATTGGAAACAGGCCTGATGAAGAAAACAACAGCAAGAACATTCGACGTAAAAGTTACACGAGGCACATGCTGCCATGTACACAATTGAAAGGATGTAGAAAATCGAAAGAATTGATGTTAAGACTACTGACCATTATTTGTTTTTTTGTGAAATTGTACTTTTTTAAGAAAACATATCCCCGAAGAAGCAGTCATTACTACTTTGCTGTGTTCAGGCGAAATGGGAACCTTCCACTTTTACACCAGAAATGTGGGAAGCCTTTCACCAAAAAGTATAATTTTGGAAGAGGTACCCACAGGTGTAAGAATGGAATTGTCCACCAGAGTAACAAGAAGAAGATCACCCTTTTTGTGACTCGGTTTAACCTAACCCGTGGTACTAAGGATGGAAAACAGGGGAGAAACATCACGAGGGAACTCCCACATCGCACCTGTTTGAAGCTAACGAGCGGGGAGGATCAAGGTGGTTCACTGGGAGAAGCGGCCCATGAGGTTAACGTAAAGGAAGGAAGCGACAATGGGGGAGGAGGCAATGAGAAGAAGGACGATCCGCCTGATGACGAACCCCAAATCAGTGCCAAGGGAAAAAAGAAAAAGTTAAACTTTAAATTTACATCATGGAACAACACCAACGAAATGAACAGCTTCGATCTTGAGAAGTATAGCAAGCACAACGAAGCAGTGAGTAGTGAAAACTTTTCCCCCGAATTTCAGTCTGCGTACTACTCCGCCAAGAGTACGTCCGGAAAAACAAGTGCCAATCACTCGAACATAATAATTAATCAGGAGTTAGTGAATGCCTTGTCGGTCGAAGAGATATTCGATGTCCTTAACAAGCACAGTGAAAGTGGCAAAACGGACGCGGGAAAAAAAAAAGTTTTTAATGAGGTTAATATTGTGACGGCTTATCACCGTATAGCCAAACATGTGAAGAATAAAAATTACTGCTTGACAGGAGAAGGAAAGGGGAGACAGGGGGGAACAGCAAGCAGTGACTTCGACCCGGTGACCTTTAGTCTCTTCGAGACGTATTCCACGGTGGGGGGATGGCAGGGAAGCGGGGAGCAGTCCAAGGGGGAGCGGTCAACAGAGGAGTGGTCAACTGAGGAGCAGGCACGGCGAGAAGAGGACCGCCCCCGCTGCAACAACCACGCAAATTTGCTGACCAGACGCACGTACAGCAGCATCTACGCACTGATGAAGCAAACCCTACTGAGCAACGCGTCTGTAATCCCAAAGCACGTGGCGAACATCGCATGGGCGTCAGCCATCCTGTCCAACCGAGAAGTAGACATATGGCAGAATATAAAAAAAAGATTTTTCGAGAATTGCAATAATTTCAAGGCACAAGAAATTTCAATCATCCTTTGGTCCTTCAGTGCAATAAAGTTTGAACTGATCACCACCAAGGAGGAGTTTATCTCTGTGCACAACTGCTTGTCCAAGTACTTGAAGGAACACAAATTTAAGGCCCAAGAATTTAGTAACGTCATTTGGGCCATCGCAACATCTAACTGTTGCAACTACGACTTGTTAATAAGCCTGTACAATTATGCCATAGAAATATTTGATTCTCTTCTACTAAAGGATATAGCTACCATTTTATACAGTCTCTCCATTTTTGCAGCCGATTCTGCTAATAAGGATATTCTCCATGTGATTAGGGAGAACCATCTGACCAAATTTGGTATAGAGGAGGACTACCTCACGATTAGTAAACTTAACCCTGATCCAACACATGGGGCTAAAAACACATTCGATAAAAACTTTAGCTATTTTGAACGAACCAGTGGGGAGCCACATGCGGATATCACCATTAACAGTTTAGTGATGGAGAAAAATACAGCTAGCGATAAAAAATACGCTGCCTTTCTCTTGTTTGAAAATTTTTTGTTATACTCCCTGGAGAGGATTGGCAAGGAGAAGGACAAAATGACTATGCGGACATGGTCCAGCATTTTTTGGCCCTGCGCAAATGTCGGTTTGGGTCTCTACAGGGACATGCCCGCGCAGCACAGGTTGCGCTACTACGTGTGTGGTGTTGAGGGAAGTTTACGTGGAGAGGGGAACGACATGTGTGAGAGCGGGGAGGTAAACTTGGTCTCACGAATGGATTCCCCCGAGGAAGCTGCTCCTCCCAGCAAGTGCAAGCCGTATGTGCACATCATCGACGGGGAGTACGTGTTCCCCCTGATGGAGGAGAATGCACACCAGGAGGTATGTACCCAGTTGAAGCAGAAAGAAATGGGGGGCCTTGGAATAGACGTCCCCCTAGACATATACAACAGGAAGGAGAACAAAGTGGGTCATTCTCCCCCACATACGATTCATGAGAAGACATGCGATGGTAATAATGTCGAGGCGACGAACAGCGATGCAGTGGGGAAAAGTGACACTAAGCAGGTGAATGAATTGGAGGAAACACAAAATGGGCAGCAATCCAGCAATGCGAATGGCAGTCATCATAGGGGGGAACCAAACCAGACACAACACGTGGACTGCCTAATCAGCGAAGTGCAGAAGCCGGTTTGTAACTCCTCCCTTGGAGGTAGCACACAAACCAGTGTAGGGGAGAAAAGCCCAGAAGTGGAATCACACCAACAGAGAAGCAACTCGATGGGGGAACAAATAGACGAGGACAAATATTCCAACTTTATGAATCACATAAATGACAAAAAAGAAGACGAGGATTTATATAACGACACAAACAGGAGCATGGTGATGGTGAAGTTGCTAAGCCTCTTCGAATCCCAATTGAAAGAAAAAAGCATAAAGTGGACCAAGTGTGAAGTTCAGTCCATCGCTAACATCCTGTGGAGTCTTTCCATTTTGAATCTCTTCCCCAGCAGCATTTTTGAAAATGCCCTACACGAATGTAATAAGAGATTTATAAAATATGGGAAAAAAAAAAATTCAAGCAAATTGCAATTTTTTATCTCGCAAATCCATCAGTCGCAGTTGTATCAGGCCTCTTTTGCGTACTGCTTATTTATAATGAGGAAAAATTCAAAGGGGGGTAAGCAAATGGACAAAAGATATGAACAAACTGCGGCTCCAAATGATCATATGGATAATACTTGGTCGTTGAAGAGAAAGATACAAGCTACATTTGACAAACATTTCAAAGTCTCCACGAACACTTTAAATATATGGAAAAAACAGCTAGCTAGAAATCAACGAAGAGAAGAGAAAAACCAAGTTTCTTCATCTGTACATAAGAAAATTTCGAACGATTTGAGGCACCTTAGTATTTTTCATCAGAACGAATATTTCATTTTGGACTCCCTTCTCGTGGATGTTTACGTGCCCAGCGCGAGGGTACGTTATGTATGTTGCGAAGGAGCGCCACACCGTTGCGACGTCGCTTCCACGCCGCAACACTACCGCGACACCACCGACACATGCCTTTCCCCCCTCCCCCTGCAGGTCGCCATAGAAATAGATGGACCTAGCCATTTCCTCCAAAAGGGGAGACTCATTCTGTACAATCCCAATTCGCTGTTCAAGAAGAGACTGCTCAGGGCGCTTGGCTTTTCCGTCATTTCCATTTCAATTAGCGAGCACACCTTCATGTTCAGCGCCTTGAATACGTTAAATTTTGTGAAGAAGTTCCTGAGCAATGTGAACTTTGGCAGAGACCGTTAGCCGCTGCGCGACACAGCGCGAATCTCTCCTAATTTTTTTGTTCTCCTTTTCAATGTTCGGCACATTTGCCCGGTGGCCAGTTTAGCGGCCCTTTGGAGGCCCCTTTACCTTCACGCACTTCTGTTGCCCTATTTGGGGCTTTCGCTCTTGTCTTTCTATCACCCCCAACCCAAGGTGTCTGCACACGCGTGGGTAAAGGACACTGCAACGTATGTCTAATTGCTGGAGCAAAACAAAATGTTGCAATGTTTTAAAAAAAGTTGCCTAACCTGTTCATATTTTTTTTTTTTTTTTTTTTTTGCACACACAACTGCCTTTTGGCTAGCTAATCCGAATTGGTGAAATGTCAATTTGATTTATCATATTTACAAAAGGGGAAGAGATAAAGTTGGAATGAAAAAAAAAATGCCAAAAAATTGCTGACAGACACAACAAAAAGACGAAATGGGTAATGCAATTTTGCGAACGCTTAACTTAAAAGGTCTGTGGGAACATTGTGTAAGGTAAATGGGTGAGGAGTGAAATGCTTTCCGTTGATGTTGACACTGTCTGCCCCATGCAGCCTCACTCCTTTCTTATGGATGACATGTGGCGGAACAACAACTTGGGGACCTCCAGCATGTCCACCTCGTCCTTTTCGAGCACATTCTTCAACTTTTCATCAGGGATAATTTTTCTCTTCGTGTTTGGATTTTGCAAATTATTTTCCTTAATGTATTTCCATGCATACTTCAGAACAAAAACTCTGGAAGCAGTGTCCGTGTTTAAAAACTCCTTCAAGGGACTTTTAATTTCACAGTCAATTTGTAATCCATTTGGTTTCTTGTCCTTGGCGTTTGCGTGTTTCCCTTTTGTTTCACTTTGCTCCTCACTGTCTGTACTGAAGTGATTTTTTACGTAAAATTTGGTGAAGTTCCTTGGTTGGAATTTTATCCCTCGAGTGGTGCAGAGTCTGCCGTTTAGTATGTTCCTTCTGAGGGAGTCCATTTTGTTCGCTTAATGGTGGTCAAGAGATGAACTTAATAAATGCTTGGTGGTGGTGATGTAAAGCGGGAGAGCAGCAGAGAAGTTAAGCAGTACAACTATGGTGAGCCTGCGTAAACATGCACATGCCTGGGAAAATATATGTGCGCACTTGTCCCTTGTTCAGTTTCTTTCACACATTGGCTGATGGTGAGCACATTAACGGGTGAGTACGCCTGGGTTTTATGTAAGCAAGTGGAACATATCGTGTGAACAAGGGTGTGTGTGTGCCAGCTCATTCGCGAGTAGCCCTTGGGTTGCCTTTGGCACTTTTTACGCTGATTGCGTGGATTGTGGTTTGTGTGCCTTTTGTTTTGCTCTCCCCTTTACGCGCTTTTTTTTTTTTTTTTTTTT